CGGCGTTGTGGCCGGCGCCCTCGGGCCTCCCGCCGTCCCCGCCGCTGGGTCCCGGGCGGTGAGGTGAGGGGCTGGGCCGGGAGAGGTAGAGCCGGGAGCGCCCGGCGCGGCTGTCAACGGGGCTTCGGAGCTGCCTTCCCGGCCCTTTTAATGGGCAGCAGTTAAAACCTCCGAGGAACGGCCGTTTATTGCTCCCAGCGTGTAAAAGCCCTTCACGCCCCTCACCTCGCCGGGCGCTTCTGAGCAAACCCCTGATGTACGAGTGTCGCTCCTTCCCAAGCTGCTGTTCCTAGCTCGGATACATCATTTTAGAGCAGTACTCTTGCAGTGTTTTCTTTAAAACACACCAGAGCTGGCGGAAATTACCAGCTGATGTTCACCTCTGGTCCTACGGCACCTACGGAATCTAGACAATGCATCGAAATACAGCGGCGCCCGGGAAAAACTAACGTGACGATATGCATGAGAAATCTGAAATGTTAACGCTCAAAACAGCTGTAATTTCTGCTCTAGACTCCTGGGTATTTCAGGCAAGAGTGTCGTTATTAATTCACAGAAGCTTCTAGCCTAAATATAGCAGTAAAATGTCAATGTTTCAATCAATATTTTGAAGGGGTGAAGACAGACAACATTTTCCTTTACTGTTTTGTGTTACATAGAAGCTGTGGTCAAACAGACCTGCTGGTTTTACCCGGACCAAACCCAAGCAGGAATGATTCGTGCCCTTCAGCTTCAGAAGCATCACTTAAAACAGCCGTGCTGTCTGCGAACTGCATGACAGACACCCTGAGCTTGTAGTGACCCAGACTGAACGGTAACCCAGGTACCAGAGCAGGAACCTTGATGCCTGGCAAGTTCACTGTCGGGTATTAACTTGTTTATGGAAAAGTTACCTCTTCTCTAGGTCCTGATACCTGGTATGTTTTTAAACGCAATACCGGGTCAGTAAAATTTGCCCTCTATTCAGTCAGCACAAGGAATGCTTTTTACCCTTTGATTATCTGACTGTGTGGCAACCCAAAAGACAGATTCAATGGCCAATCACATTTAGTTTTTACATGAGTTTTAACCAGGAAAAATGGTGGCCCGGTTGTTGAACACCACATTTCTTACACTCATGTTTTGATTCCAGCTGGAAGGATAAAGAGCGTGTAGATTTCCTGCAACTCCAGCACTGATTTAACATCTGGAAAAGAGCAGGGAAAGAATGATGCGGATGGTTTTTTCATCCCATCCAGTATCTGTGGCTCCACCAAAAACATGTCTTGTGCCCAACAAAAGAGAGAGGAAGAAAGATACAATCATAATGTTGTTTTTCACTGGGTTCTCTGGTTTCCTTTGTAGCAGAGATGGAAGCAAGTTCTTCTGATGCTGTGGAACCCTCAGAAGTTGTTTGTGGAATCAGTGAAGTTTCCAGGACCCAATTCTCAATTCACATGTAGAAGAAAACCTAAGGGTATGTGTGGGCTTCCTCCATGCCAAAGTTGTCTGGGTTGTTAAGCACAACCTTGACATCAACTACAACAGCCTTGCTACTACTGTTAGCCAACATGAGTGTAAAAACTTTGAGCAAAACACATTGCTGCTCCTCAAACATTCTGCTGCTCTGCATCTAACTCAAGGTACCTTCTCTTGATATAGTACTGTCTGCCATTTCCATACCACGTACAGTATAAATCCATAACTACTAGTGCCATCTCTCAGCCCGGCATCAGCCATGTTACTTAACTGGGGGATGAGGCAGGGAAAAAAAGCCTTTTACAGAACTACAGAAGGCGAAAGGTGTACGAGGCAAAAGTTCACACGCCCATCATAGAGAAAAAGCGACTTCAAGAGGCATTTACTTCTTTAGATATATACTGTACTGTGCATTTTTTATTGAGTTTCCTGTTCTGACAGCCCTGTCACTTTGTCTGCTTGCCTGTCTGCTTGTCCCTCTCTTACATGGAGGGAGGAATGACCCTGCAGAGTTCCCTTCCGTGCTTTGGGCAAAATCCTTCAGGCTCCATCGCTTATTGCTCCATTGCTTATTGCTCCATCGCTTATTGCTCCATTGCTGGCCCCTACCTCTTTCTCAGAGTCTTGCCCCTCCTTCCCTTGATCTCAGTGTTCAGTTCCAGCATTTTAACCCTTTTCTAGCTGCACTGTCACCACAACATAGCCTCCTCATTAGTGGATTAATTACAGCAACCTCTTCGTCCCCTGCTACACAAAGAAAGGCTAGACATCAATGGCCGACCTGAGAATGTCCTACTACTGTCAAGGGAGGCAAGAGCTCGGAGATTTGACTTAGTAGTAGATGGCAGCCGTCACCGACAGCTGATGCTTGCTGGGAACAGAATGTATATGCATAGATAGGGTGAGGTATGGACTGCAAACTAGATGTCCCTAGGGAGAGACCCCAAAATAGTGACCACTCTGGACCATTTGGTGGCTTCTTCTGCAGGTTCCTGCCGAATCTTTGTTCACAGTATTTCTGCTTTTTGCTTCTGATCACTTTGTACCCACTCAGCACTTCAGCCCAGGACCTTGCCATCCATTTGGTAATCGTTGCGCAACCCTGCCTACCCGAGGCATTCCACTGTGAACGTGGACAGCAGGTGGCAATAGCAGAGCTTGCAACATCCTTTGGTTGCATTCTCTCCACTCAAGTAATTGTCAGCCTGTACTGGAATCACAATTTCATATTATAAATATAATATTATAAACATACCCATGTTAACATATCCATGTTAAATAACAGCAACAGGAGGTCTAAGCATTCATGTGGAGTGAGGGAATGGAAGAACTCAGAAGTAGTAAGTAGCTTTAATTGAAACTGCCCGTAAAATATGACCAAAGATTTCTTTGTTCTTGAAATCTGGAAGCACTTTTCATTGTGAAAAAGACGAAAAAGTGGGAAGTCTTAATTTCATTTGAATGTTTACCTAGCTAAATTGTAGCAGTTGGATTTGATAGTGGTAATACAGAAGGCAGTAATGGTATATGTGTTAAGATAAAAAGGGGGGCAACCCTGCAGGTGTTATTAGCAGTAATATTTACTGCCATTAAAGTGAGTGGAATGAGCATGTTTTACACCAAATATTATGTTTCTCTTAGTACAGGACAAAATGTATTTTTGTATGGTGTAAATTTTAGTTTGTCAGTTTTCATGTCTCTAGGCTGCAAGGAAACTAAAAACAGAGTAAGACGACCTGAAGCTATAATAATTATTCCTGTCACTACACTTCTGTGCATTTTTATATTCAAGAGAAAGGATAGCAGGAAGCAATTAACAACAAGCTGTTACAAAAACACATCAGCATGCTTTGGTTTACCTATAAAGTTTACTAAACAGGAATGTCACATGGGCTGAAGAAGGAAGCTGTAAATGAGAAGAAATATACCCACACCTGATTAAATGCTGTGTAATAAGTTAGTCCCTACAGCTTCTGTAATTCTTCATATTTTTACCAGGGCCATACAGATACTATCACTTCTAGACATATTCAGTACAATAATATTTGTCAAGCCCTGTGCTTCACTAGGTATTTTTTGTTTTATCCAAAGTGAACAGCAAGGATTTTTTTCTTTTTGCCGAGTGTTAATGGTGAAAAAAACAGATATCAAGGAAACAATAAACAGAATGTGTCTGCTTCGTCCTCCTCTTAGAGCAGGCAATAAGAATGATCTATGTACTGCAACAGAAGTGAAGAGGGGTTTTTTGGGCTCACCCAATTTCTTCAAACAAG